CATAAAAATTATGTGGACAATCAACATCTAGCCCATAAGTCGCCATCCTCTCGGGTCGATGTAGACCACAAATGAGAGACCTAACTCTGATACCACGTGTAGGGTTGAGATGACGGACTAGAGGAGGGGTGAATAGTCCTTTCTATAATTAATTGCACCGGCTAACCGAAATAAATATGAAATTAAAACTATCGGTCTAACCAAGACTACACCCCTCTATCTAAATTCTCAAGCACCTTATAAAAAGATCCTAGTTAAGCAAAAAGGTGCCGGCCTAATTAGAGCTCACCTAATAATTCTAGCTTCTAAGGTCACACAAACCTATGCAACTAGTACTTCAACCAACCGGGGGAGCTCCTACACAACTAGTGATGCAAAGCGCACAAAGCTCCTAAGTTCACTAGCAATGCTCAATAACAAGGCTACACAAGCCAAATTAGAGAGCACAAATTACTTAGCTATACAAACTAAGCAATATAACTAATAAGGCTACTTAAGCCAAACTAGTTGCGCAAGGGAGCTACTTCTATGCTACATAAGCAAGAAGATAACTAGCAAACTACACAAGCTAACTAATTACAAGAGCAGCTACATAAGCACAATATAAATGAAGTAAATACAAGCTTGTGTAATGAGGATGCAAACCAACGGGAAGACAAGGATGACATGGTGATTTTTATCCTGAGGTTCACGTGGTTGCCAACACGCTAGTCCTCGTTGAGACAAGCTCCAAGGTTGCAGCCGGTCCTCTTGCTAGTGGTGACCCGCAAGTCATACTCTTCCATGTGGAGTGCTTACCACAAGCTCTAGCACTTGACCTGGCCGGACCAATTGCCACCCCGACCAACACCCCAGAAACCCTTCTCTCTGGAAAAAATAGGGCGGTGCACCGCCGTCACCATGGCGATGACTGTGGCGGTGACCCCCTCGCCTCTGCACCAAACTCACCACCCTCGGGAAAAAAGTGGCGGTGCCATCGGACAACACCTGGTGATGCACTGCCCTGCACATGGCGGTGTACACCGTCATGTCCGGTGACAACCCTTCTGCTGCTGCTCAAAATTAAGTCCAGGTGGGCACCGCCCTAGGGGTGGCGGTGCCACCGGACAAGGTACGGCGGTGCTAGTTCCAACCCTTGCTCTCGGCCTCGACCAGCTGGTCACCGCCACTAGGGTGGTGGTGCACCGGATTGGGGGTGGCGGTGCCCCTATGGCAGCACCCTAAGCCCAGTTTTGCCTCCTTTCTTTACCTTTCGACTTCTCCTTTGCAAATATGCTAACACCACCAAGTGATCACCACCTTATGCTCATGTGTTAGCTTTTCACAATTATTTTTTAAAGGATTAGCACTCTTTTCTCAGCGCCACTCGATCCTAACACGTATGCAAAGTTAGATCGCTCAAGTGGCACTAGATGACCGATATGCAAACAAGTTTGCTCCTCTTAATAGTACGGCCATCTATCATAAACCCAGTCATGCACTTCTCTACACAACCTTTGACCGGTGAAATAAAATGCCCTATAAATATACCTTTGCCTTGCGCATCCCATTCCATTTCCTCCATCGTTTTTGCAACACATGCACCAACCAATCACCAAATGAAATGATCCACTTCATATCATCACGTGACCATATTGGTTCATCGGTCTTGACCTGACTTGCTTTTCACCATTGCCTTCGTCCATCGGCGCCAAGTCTTGCTCAAGCTTCACCATCACGCGGTCCATCGCTCCAAAAGCCTCCAACTTGCCATTCACGCTTGCAATCGGTCCATCAAGCTAAGTCTTATCTTGATCTTCTCCACCTTAGTCACATGACTCAATGTCATGTCTCATATGCAATGAGCTCCTTCATCACATGTGTGAGCCTTGTAACAAATCCAAGCCATTTCACCTCCTTGGCATGTATTGCTCACAAACATGTACCTATGGACTAATCACCCGTGTATCTCATATTTAAACACATTAGTCCACATAGGTTGTCACTCAATTACCAAAACCAAACAATGACCTTTCAGATGTGCCTATGACTATGTGTTGTTAATGAGTCTTGGTCTTATTTTTTATGTTGTGGTGTGTTCCCTCTCTATTCCTTTTTCGAGAACATCCGCCTCCTCTGACATTCCAAAATAGTGATTTCATGGCACATGATTCACTATTTTGTTTGTTTGGTTCTAAGTAGAAGAGCTCTAGATATTGATGCAACTCGACAAAATTTTCCTTCTTTTTCCCTCTTTTCCATTTAGGCACTCAGTTGATGGGTGGCCGGGTTTCTTGCCATATGTAGGAAACAAACATTCTGTGTATGAGAATAAAAAATCACAATATAGCTCAATTTTGAACCTTATCCGGAACCACAATGTTTTTTACTTTTTGGGCAAAATATGGATTACATGTTTGGTTAGTAAGAACCTTTCTTGAAAAAAAAATGCACACAACACAAAGACATACCCTCAGTATTGATTTTGGCTTGTGATGATTTTTGGATAATACCAAATGTCTCATGGAAATTTATGTTGCTCCCGTTGCAACGCACGGCCAATCACTAGTAGTTTCAATAATTCTTGAGTTTGAGTATTGATGATGAAAGCTAGATCATCCATAGAGCGTCGTCTTTCTCCCTCACGAACTTTTCCTCTCATTCCACCGGTGCCACATCAGGATAACGTGCTTTTAGGACTCAGGTGTCAGGTGTCTAGGGAAGGATGAAATTTGCACCAACAACTTCAGATCTTGTATTAAACTGTTCTAAGCATCTCCAACAGTGGTTATAAATAATATATCAGAAAAAGTTCATGAAAAATTCCAAATGTCAGACTTTTTCATCCACTGCTTTTGACCAAGAATATCAGTTGCCCTAAGTCAAAATATTCTAAATTTGATCAAATTTATAAATAAAAATATTAATTTCTACCACATTAAACCCCGTTTGACATAGTAAATATTGTTATTATTTTCTACGATTTAAGCTTAAAATGGTTGAACATCAATATTTTATAGGAAGAAGGGAGTAACATTTTCCTGTTTGAGATATAATTATAGTTCTGTAGCCAACAAATTTCACTGACACTCGCCACCAACAAAATTCACTGACACTCGCCTGGCTGATGGTAGCCGTGCCTAGTGGTGCAGGACGAAATTCTTAGTATAATCATTAATTCAGCAAGTGATTTTTATAGAATTATTAGAGATTTGCTCTTATAAATATGCATAGATGTTGATTGTTATTCCATTATTGTTATGATCCTATTTTGAGCGTCAGAATTTTTTTGATTATGGCATGCTGAACTGTTTTATGTATACTAACAAAGATACCCGTGCGTTGCAACGAGAGAAAAAAAAACAATAGTATTTCTAGTTCCATAGATTTGATTCAACTTAAATGATTACCTCACCTTCTTCTGTACCTCACCTTTCACCATTGATTAATACAACTCAAATTTAGAGCACATGTTTCCCTCCCATCCGGGTGTCATACTTTTTATACTCTTTTATATAAATATAATCAGATCTAAACTATTTAAGATAATTGTAAAAGTTATTTCATTTGTGGTGGAGTGAGTATAAGAAAGAGACTTGTAAACAATAGTAGTAGTAATAGTAATAATAACCATATTATTAGTAGTAATAACAATAACAATAATAATACATGCACATAATTTTCCACTACATTGTTGTGCTTTAGCTATGAATGAAAAATACCAATGCATTGCCAGAAAAAGATATAACAAAATTAATCTATTAACTAAACAGCGGGATCATAATTTTTCTCAAACATGTCCACCCAACTCTAATATATTGCAAACAGTAACTATGGCACAAAGTTAATATTTTAGAAAAAAATTATGGAACCTAAATCTTATCATCATACTGTTCAAGATTTATGAAAACGTAACTCAGCTTAAAAAAAGCCTTTTAGTTTGAACGGGCTCAAGCAAAGTCCTTAAAGTCACGTTATCATTTAAATTATTGCAGTTGAAAATAGTTATTTTATGGTCTCGAGCTTCTCGCCATTGAACTATGTGAACCATGAACTAAGGGGTCGTTTTTTTAGACTCTAACTATGGCAAAAACAGCTTCAGCCACTAGCTTCTCTAGGGGAGATGAAGCTGTTTTTATCAAACATTTGGTAGAATATTTTCTTCTCTTAGATAAAAGGTTAAAATGTCCCAACTATCCCTCTCCCTTTTTGTTGTTTATATTTTGTTTCTTTAGGGTCGTTTGGATTCTTTTATTTTAGAGAAATTAAAATCTACATGATAGATTATGCTATTTGGCTTGAAATTTAACATTCTATAATATTTTCAAGCTTAAAAATAAGTCTATCTCAAATTCATAGGGTGGGAGATAAAAATTGATTTTTTAGATCGCTATGCTATAATTCTATTCTCCAACTTATAACACACTCTTCGACTCACCTCTCTATAATAGAAATACAACATATAAGTATGTCCATATATAACAATAAATATATAAATACATTTCATATATAGCTTTATTAGCTTAATTAATCTATAACTAAATTGTAATCTAAAGACAATAAAGCGTAAAGAGTAGCCGGCCACTCAGCGTGCCACGTCGTCTGCTTTTCGTGGCCGTTCGATCGGCCGCGCGGACGGCCCAGATCAGACGAGCCACAGTCATTTTTCAAAAATACCCTTCTTTTTTCCGGAAATCAACCCACGCTCCAGAGTCCCTCTCAGGATATTTTGCAAAAAACACCTCAGATTATTTTGAAATCAACCCGCGGTCCAGAATGGATGGCCCCCAGTTTTTTTTTTCAAAAAAACCCTTATCTTTGTCGAAAATCCGCCCGCGGACCCTCTCATCATTTTTTGCGAAAACTTCCTCGGATTTTTCTCAAATCAACATACAGGCCAACTTTGATTATATCTTTTTTTTTAAAAAAAAAACGTGTGACCAGTGGCCCGCGCGCATGGACATGCCCGAAGGACTGGTTATTACAAGTTATTAGAATGAATTCAATTCGATCAAACGCTCTCATCTTATCTCTTTCTCTCTCTCATCTCCGCCGAGAGCCACAAAAGTGCCGTCTTCTTCGTTCCTTCTCATCTCATCTCGTTCTCTCCATCGCTGCAGAAACGGCGGCCGCTCTCCGCCGGTCGGTGATGCCCCTTCCTCCTCCTCCCTAGCCCCCACTCGCGACCCTTTCCTCTTCCTCCGCAGCCGTGCCGCCCCCTGCGCACCTTCCTCCTTGGCGTCATGCGCGCGCAGGGGCCGTACCCGCTGGAGCTGGGGCCGGGGCCGCGCTTGCCGGTCGCGGAGCTGGGGCAGCAGGCGCCAGCAGCCACCTGAGATGAGCTGCTGGCCGGCGTGGAGGGCGGCGGATTGCGCCATGCTGTTGTTCCGCCACTTCCTTAGTCCGAGCTACCGAGGCCGAGGTGCTCGCACTGCATGCCGCCCGGCCCGTATTAGGAAACTCCATGGTCGGTGCGCTGTGATTTTGCGAGGTGAGGTGAAATTGAGGTAGTGGGCATCCAATTTAACTTGATTTTTGTTGGTCGAGCTCACCGGCATTTGGGAATCGACGGGCGTGTTGGATGAGATTTATCTAGGCGCGGCATGAGAAGCCGAGTTCCTGCTAGCAAGTTGCTTCCCATCGCTGAGTTCTTTAATTTTGGTCTTGATTTAGTCCTATTGCATCTCGATTCGATTGAAAATAGGACGAGAAGGTAAAAGTGGACGATTGAAGTGGATACCGAACGGACGCACAAAAAAAATTTAGATACAAAGCCTAAATTTATTACACAGGCAACCCAAACCCGAATCCAAACTGAACTCAAGCCTGGAGGCAAACCCAGACTCTCGCGTCATGTACGCACTCAAATAAAACTGGACTCACACGGACGCAGACATCCATCACGATTAGTTAGGAAAAGGCTAGACAAAAAATAGTAAAAAAAAGGCGGAAATTTTGCTATATATGTAAGAAGTTTACTAAAAAAAGTTCCTTGTTCAAAAAATCCGATTTACATTTTCCTCAATGCTTCTTTCGAATTTAGACACGTCCCTCCCTGGCTCTAGAGTCTCTACCGACATGACGAGTTGGGTGTTTGGATCCGGTGATTAAATTTTAGTCTCTGTCATATACTCATATCGCATATTTGATGTAATTAGGAGGATTAAATATCAACTAATTACAAAATTAATCGTACAAATGAAGACTAAATTAAGAGACGAATCTATTAAGCCTAATTAGTTCCTATTTGATAACGTGGTGCTACAGTAAAAAAATATGCTAATGATAAATTAATTAAATTTAATAAATTTATTTCGCAAATCAGTCTTCATATGTACAATTAGTTTTGTAATTAGTGTATCAAACGTTTTACTTTAGCCCCGACTTCACTTACCGCCTTACCGTGGGGATTTTGACAATTTGCACCCTGACCCCGCCTGTTTTCCACATCTCAATCCCCACTCCGGCACTCCCCTCCAATCTCCTCCAGATTCGGGAGCCCAAATTCGACCGACGCGCCGCCTCGCCTGGCTTCGCCGCTTCGCTCGACGCCACCGCCACCTCCCGCCATAGTCGGACCCACCTATAGGGCGACCTCTCCTCCGTTGAGTACCAGTACCCCTACCCCTCCCCCGGCCGGCGAGTCTGCGACACCGCGAGTCGCGAGTGCGAGTCTGCGACACCGAGCGGAGTCCGGAGGTTGAAGACGGGTGAGGTCGAGGGGCGACTCGCCGCACGCGTTATTGGGCCGGCTGACACATCGCGACCGAACCCTAGCAGCCGCAGCAGCAGCAGCAGCAGGCTCCACCCTCTCCCTCTACCTCCCAAGGTGCCGATCCGAGGTGACTTAGTGCTGGTCCACGAACTCCGAGCGCTCCCCGGCGACCGTCACCATGGAGGTAACTGCGGGGACGCTAACCTGAGTTAATTCGTGTTCGTTTCGAGCCCTTTGGTTGTTTGTGCTTACGCCGATATTGCTTCCGTGTTTGCTTCGTTTCCGTCGTGCAGGGGAACGGGAACGGGGAGGTTGACCTGGACGCGACGATGACCACCCTAGGCCCGGAGGACGACACATCTCAGGGGCTAATTCTGATGAACAAGCAGCGGGTCATGTACCGGCCGCCGGCGGGGAAGTCCGTCCTAGGTATATACTTATTATGTGCCTGTGCAGTGTTTGGGCCTGTTTGTTTCCGGGATGCCGTATCGCGCGTTCGCGTTTGAGCGAACCCAGCTCCGAGGCCGCGTTTTGGGAATCGCCGAGCCGCGTTCATTTTCTGCCGTGAAACGCGCGAGCGCCGCAGACCGTTCGGCGTCGTTTTCCGCGCATCTCGGTCACCAACGCGCTTATGAGCGGAAACAAACAGGCCCTTTGTGTGGTGCGTTTACTGAATGTGCTTTGCTTTACCCTGATTAATACATTTGCAGACTTATGAACTGATTAGTTATTACTGTTTGGTCTTCACATGGCTCTAGTTAGCTAACTCTTGGTCTGTTCTTCGGCAGGTCTTGACACCCTTGCTGACAAGAAACGGGCAGCGGGAGGCGGCAGTGTGTTTAAGCCACCCCCTCCGAAGGTAGCTGTTGCTGCAAGTTCCATCGATGAAGATGAGAAGCCAGGAACTACAGAGAATGATGCGACGAGCCTCTCCACGGCGATTCGCGGTAACTCATCACGCCGCTATCGAGGAAGCGGTTCTGATGATAAAACATCTTTGAATGGTGCGTCATTTTCTTTGAACTAAATACATGAGCTGCATAAATTAGCTAATGTATATGCTCTTCTAGTGCTATGGTTTTATGGTAATTCATTTCCACTCATTTTTAAGTTGTAACTAAATCTCTCTCTTTGTTTCAGAACCAACAGTCACTGATAAAGATGAAAGGGCCCCAACACCCAGCCATTGGGACGAGCCCCACCGGCAAGAGGTCTTAATTACATGGAAACTTTCAATATACAGTCCCACCTGCTTCTTTTGGAAATTACATCAATACTTTACATTAGTTTTACTAGACCTTACTAACAAGTCAATTTCTATGCCTGTTAATTTACAGACCCACATCTCTGGAAGCTCTCAAGGTTCTCGTCCTCATGGCACTCCTCGTGGTTATGATTATTATGATGATAGAGGATCCCGTGATAAACATGGTAATCATGAGAGATCTGCATCCATTGGCTATAGTAGTAGTGGAAGGCGAAGATACCACGATGATAGAGAATCTCATACTAGGCGTGATGAGCATGGGAGGTCTACATCGATTGAATATACTAACAAGAGAAGTCGACTTGAGCATAGCTCAAGAAGTTCAAGAACACCTGGTACTTGTTTAGCTTGGCATTCTTTATTACTCTTATCATTGAATTGACATTTTACTGATAGGAGTATGATTGCCATTGCAAATATTAGCAAGATCTGATTGGGATGATGGACGCTGGGAATGGGAAGATACACCTCGTCGAGATTACCGTGATAATCGTCCTGGCTCCCGAAGACAGTCTTCAACACGATCTCCTATGCTTGCTGCTGCATCCCCAGATGCACGCTTGGTGTCTCCTTGGTTAGGCGGGAATACACCACGTTCAGCAGGTAAAGCATGTTGAGACAGGACTTTCAGTAAAACTGCTTTGTTTTTGTGTAGTAAATATACTCTGTTGACATCTCAGTAACCCAACTAAATCATGAAACTAATATCCTTTGTGTTCTTAATGTCCAGTGTCCCCGTGGGATAACGTATCCCCTTCACCTGCTCCAATACGTGCTTCTGGTTCCTCAAAAGGGTCTTCTTATTCACATTCCAGTGGAAGATCGCACCAGCTTACCTTTACATCGACAACTAGTTCTAATGTAAGCTAGAATTCAATTTTCTGCAGCATACTTATTTCATGCTATCAAATGTAAGTTTGAATCATATTTTGTACATCATAATTTAATTAACCACGAGCTTTTGTTCAGATTAACACGTCTTCTTTTGCATGTCATAATTTGATTAATCAGCACGATGCACCTCATCGCCTGCCTTTTGCATGTCTTCTTTCTCTAGGTTGATTTATGCTTAAATGTAACTGTGCAGTCATGGTTTCTATGTCATTCAATAGGCATGTTAGATTTATGCTTAAATGTAACTGCCTTTTGCATGTTGGTTTCATGCCCGGAAGGTCAACCATGGAAGCCATTTTCTTAATAAGACAAGTTATGGAGCGGTATAGGGAGAAGAAGAATGACCTATATATGTTTTTTATTGACTTGGAGAAGGCTTATGATAAAATAACAAGGAATGTTATGTGGTGGGCTTTGGACAAACATAAATTATCAACGAAGCACGTCGGACTCATTAAGGACATGTACAACAATGTTGTGACTAGTGTTCGAACAAGTGATGGAGACACGGATGACTTTCCGATTAGGATAGGACTACATCAAGGGTCAGCTTTGAGCCCTTATCTGTTTGCCTTAGTGATGGATGAGGTCACAAGGGACATACAAGGGGACATCCCTTGGTGTATGCTTTTCGCGGACGATGTAGTGCTACTTGATGAAAATCGGACATGAGTGAATCAGAAACTGGAGTTATGGCGGGAGACTTTGGAGTCCAAAGGTTTTAGACTCAGTAGAACTAAAACTGAGTATATGAGATGTGACTTCGGCACTACTACTCGGGAGAAGGAAGATATTAGTTTGGAAGGTCTAGTAGTGACTAGGAAGGATACTTTTCGATATTTAGGATCAATGCCACAGAGAGACGGGGATATTGATGAAGATGTTAGCCATATAATCAAAGCAGGGTGGATGAAGTGGCGCCAAGCATCTGGTGCAATGTTTTCAGATCGTATTATCGAGGCTAGTCGTATGACCACCGATCAGACGACTAATTGCTATTAGTCGTCGATAAGGGTCGATTAGTCGGTCCTAATCGGTCTAATCGACTAGTCGGACATTTAGTCGTCCTTGTGCCTAGATGGTCTGACATCATATATATATGATGTAAATATATGTAAACATGGCCATAATAAATAGGTAAATGTTAGAGGCAAGCAACCAAGCACAGTTTGGCATGTAATCATGTTTGCAATGAATCATTATCATGGTGATTTGGCCACTTACCATAGAATCTTTGTTTCTTGATTTGGCCACTTACCATATCATGGTGGCTCATCTCGATGCTTGAGGCCTCCGTGTCCGTCTTCCAGGCGCCGAGGAAGGAGCCTCAGAGGCGGGCGGATCTCTGGGTCCCGACAGGGGAGGAGACAGAGGGAGCGGAGGTGAGGCGCTTGGCGGGCTGCATGGACGCCACGGCGAGAGGCGCGGACTGAGCCATGGACGCGCCGGCGAGAGGCGTGAGCGCGATGCAGGCTGGGCGAGAGGCGCAAGTGAGTCTGCGG